TGTTTCAAATCTTGACACCTCCTTTGCTGCTTAATGCTTTTTCTAGTCTTTGAAACTCTGTATGCATCTACAGTGCAGGTGGTGTCATGGGCACAGGAGGTCTAGCCCTACTCTCCTCTGGTTACCAAGTGGCTCTCCTCAGTTGATGGCTTCTTGCAAGGATACAGGAAAAGAAAGACTCATCTTTCCTCAGGGAGCTGGCAGCTAGTAATTTGGCCACGTTCCATATGGACAACACCAGCTTTGCTTCACACACACACACACACACACACACGCACACACGCACACACACACATGGCATAACATCAAGTGCACAAATGTTTATAATACTTATGGGTTATGTTTTAGTTTTGGGACTTTTTTTGCTTTCATGAAGTGAACATTGCTGTTTAATGTCCATCTTTATCTATTATAACATTTTATGATTGGAATGAAGTCTTTAAAAGGTTTTTCCTTGAAATTACCTGAGGTGGAATCAAGGGCCATGCATGTTAGTCACATGTACTTTCACTGAGCTGTATCCTCAACCCTGTGATTTTTATTTTGAGATATGGACTAACTTTATTAAAGGACATACACCAGGGGATTAGTTAAAGCAGTTAGTTGACATGGTTATTTTGTAGGGAAGCTTGTCACTCACTCTGAAAAGATTCTCAAGAACACAGCATGTTGCCTTGCTAACTGGTAAATCTCTGCAAATCCTCCCACCTTGAGCAGTTCTAGCAACCAGGAAACTCCACTCCATTCCCTACTAGGGGCAAAAGGAAAAAAAAGTTAGAGAAAAAGAGATGGAATGTAATGTGAACAGAGAGTGGGTGCTCTTATAGTCAAAAATAAAGATTGATCAGAAATAGCAGAGGGCAAAGTCAGCCACGCAGGGATGAATCATGAGACTCAGCATCCCATTAAAACAATCACCTCAGCAACCTACCCCAGAGGAAATGTCACTTAACTCCCAGTTAGATGTCACAGCCATGTAGTCTATAATCAGACTGATGCACAGCTCTGGCAAATATTGTATTAACAGAAATGATAAGGGTGATTTTGTCATTCACTCCAAAGGAAACAGTAAGTGAGGAGCTAGAATTGAGGAACAAACCACCTTCAGAAAGCGAGGCTCTTAAGAGTATATGGGGGTAAAGTATCCTATATATCTTATATCTTTGTATCAATGCACACTATTGACCTGTGATTTATATGGAAACCAAGCAACAATTTAGATATTTTCAATATTGATATTAAAAGTATAAAATATAATTACCTAGATATTCTGTAATGTCAACTTCATATCCATAATGCTACCATTCACTTATTTGTGAATGAGTGAGAACACACACTCCAGCATAACAGTACACTTGGTTATCTGGCTTTCTGTTACTGTAAAAAATGTCTGAGAAAACCAACTCACTGTCAGATTTTTACCCTCTGTTTGGAGTGTTCATTGTAACCGCAGGGAGCACAAGGTTCCCTCACAGATAGGAAGAAAAGACAGAAAGAGACTTAGATCTCACAATCCATCTCAGAGTTTATTGCCAATGGCATGGAGACCACCCTCTAGCCCACTTCTTAAAGATTGATGCCACTGTCTACACAGATGGGAAGAGTGAATGAGAGACAGGGAAAAAAGAGCTTAAATGTTACTGTGAAAGCCATGATTGTTTGTTTGTTTGTTCTAATTTCCTTATATTTGGCCCATTTTAGGCCTTATAAGGTAAATATTTTTCTCCACATTGTTCAACCTGGCAGCTTAAATTTGAAAAGCGAAAATAAACCCAGTTTCCCTAGCTACACTGTAATTAAAAGCACACAAATATACGAAAAAGACATTTGGATGTCAGTTTTCTCTCTATGTAAATTTCCTTGTCATATCAATTTCCAGGTTAAATATTTCACTAGGGTCTTGAGTTACAATACACTATGCCTGTTTCCGAACTCTGGGCCCACTTGCAGATGACCAGAACAGTCTAGATTATGGGAAAATGAACAGTTTGGGGCTAAGGTAGAAGTTAGTATTCCAGTAGCCTCACCATTAACTATCATAAAGGAACACGCGTCTATGAAGACTGAAGAAAGATAAGACATAATCCACTCTGTGATCCTCTGTATATTTTACTCTTTTTCATGTCGGATAACTCATAAAGTTACTTAGGAGAAGAATGCGGCTTACAACTGTGCTCTTAAATGGTCACTGTTGTATAATTTGATGAGAAATAACTAGGTCATCTCATTTAACTTTCATTACTTTGGCATTTCCCAAACTCACAGGGTCCTTTGTAATACCAGAGGATTTATCTCTGTTTTTCAGGTCATCTGATATATTGGATTGATTTTTTTTACTAAATTTGCCAAGTCTATGACCTTATACTTTAGCTCTGGAATAATATCTCTGAAGCTCGAAGTGCTTAGCCTTCAATTATTTTCTTGCTCTTAGATATTCTGATGCAGTTGCTTGGATTTTGAGATTGAGTCTAAGGAGACTTTATTTCCTTAATTAAATGAAAAATTTCAGAATGCTCAAATAGTAAAATATATGCTCAATATACTCTAGTATTCTAGTTTTACTAAGACACAATCATCCAATAAAAATTGTATATACTTAAAGCTTGGATGATGACTTGATAGAGTTATATAATTGTTACGTTATCACAACTTCACTACCTTCAAACTAAAGCATGTAATTGCCTCACCTGGGAGTTTTTTTCATGTGTCTGAAAACATTTGAGTTCATTCTGTTAGTCAATCTCAAGCATATAATATGTTATTATTTCTAAATATATTTATATTTATTTATTATTTGAGAATTTCATATAGGTGCAGAGTTCATTTTGTATCCACTTCCACCATATCCTATTCCAACTTATTATTTTCCTCTTTTTAATCATCAAGTTAAATTAGTGATGTTCATATGTACATGGGTGTAGGGCCACCCTCTGGAGCATCAATAATCTACTAGAGGCCAAATCTCTGAAGAAAAGTGAATCTCATTCCCTTAGCAGCCACCAACCATCAATAACCCCTCCTAAAGATCCCTGAAATCTGTTTCTATAAATTCAGTCCTGATATGATTCTTCAGTAATCCATTAACTGTACAGGTCTCCTTTCTTCTCACTTGTGTTGGGTAAGTGACCTACCAGGGATGAATCTCCTTAGTACTGTCTTATTCTTAATATTTACTTATCTACCCTTGCATCTGAATGTTATGGAATGCTGCATGGTACTGAAGAAGCTAACTAAGACTTCTGCTATCAAACTTACTGAGAAGCAATACCTTTAATATTACATTATATGCCATCCTATAGCCTTCATCCAGCATCTGGTGGAAGTAGAAGCAGACACCCACAACTAATCACTGAACTGAATTGGAATCCAGTTGCAGAGAAGAATGAGCGATGAGCAAAGGGGTTCAGACCAGGCTGGCAAAACCCACAGAAACAGCTGAACTGAACTCTTGCTCCCCAGACTGATAGCTGGGATACCAGCATGGGACTGATCCAGACCCCAGGAACGTGGGTTTCAGTGAGGAGACCTAGAAAATCTACGGGCCCTCCTGTAGTAGTTTAGTACTTATCCTTAGCATAGGTGTGGACTTTGGGAGCCCATTCCATATAAAGGAATACTCCCTGAGCCAAGACACACGGGGGTGGTCCTAGGCCCTTTCCCAAAGAATATGATAGACTCTGATGACCCCCTATGGAAGGCCTCACCCTCCCTGGGGAGCATAAAGGATATGTGATAGTTAGGGTTTTAGTTGGGGGGGGCCTGGGAGGGGAAGACAGGAGGGAATGGGAACTGGGATTGACATGTAAAACAATCTTGTTTCCAATTCAAATAAAAAAATCTGAAAAAAAAAGAAAATTCACAATTCACCTATGGGCCTGCTGTGCTTTGATCTGTTTAGTTTTAAATGTCAAACATGGGAAAACGATGTATTGGTCCAGGCGAACACTCTATTTCAAGTTGAAATATATCAGTTCCATTTCATTATTTTGCTCAATAGTATTAGCATTAACATATTTGTATAAATTTCATGATTACATGCATCCCCAGTTGTTTCTCTCTCACTGGGATATTTGCAGAGCCCTTCAGGCTTGCTTCTTTGTTCCTGACATGGTGACAAACCCCACCATTTTATACATGCAGCCATTGTGGAAGGTTCCTTGTTCTTGAGTATATCCAAACACCAGCTCCTGAGAGCCTGTAACCACTCTGCTGAGCATGGTTATGGACGAATCTCAGTTCCAGCTAATGACCTTGTTTATTGACTACTTCCTTCTTTCCTGGGTTATCACCTCTATATTCTCCTTCTTATTCTCAGATCACAACTGCCTGTTTGCTATTGCCACTTGCTTGATATTCTTGTTGCCTGTCCATTGAAAAAATTGCGGCCATCAGTAAACAATATTTACACAGTCACCAGTATATCTAGCGCCTACCAGCCTTGAATGCCTGATTCCCCTTTCTTGACTGTTCTTACAGATAGATTGTGTTATAATTCCAAGCCATCACCACATGTCATGTGTGCTCTTGGGCCTATTCTCACTCAAGTGTTCCATGATGTTGCCTTAACACTCTCTTCTCTCTTCCCAACACCATTTTTTCTTCTTATAATTATCCCTATTACTGTGCAATCATAGAGCTATCTAGCTCTTTAGAAGGCTGTTTTTCCACTAGCATTTGCTTTTCTCTGTTCTCATTCCCTTATCTTCCCATGTCAGGACACATTTCTAATCTCCTTTGATCTCTTATTTTTCTTACGTTAAAAAACAAATAAACATACAAAAACCTGTTTATGCCAAGTACCCAACTTTGACAATAAATCTTCCTTGTTGCTGAAACTGCTTTGCTAAGCTTCCTAATATGTTTCATGTCATTAAATCTATCAATCAAGTCCCAGCACTCCATCGAATTGAATCATGGTAACGTATAATGCACTCTTTCAATTTTGACATACTTGCTTCATGTGGCTTTCAGGTAGTTACATCTATGAAAATTACACATGGTGGAACTCCAAGGAGGAAATCTGTTTATTTTGTAGTCACTCTTCATTTGTTTATTATAAAACTATGTACACACACACACACACACACACACACACACACACACACACACAATCCAGATGTATATGCTTTCTCATGTAGTGTTTTCTGAAGAACCTCATGCCTAAAATGTAAAAAAAAAAAAAAAATGTGTTAGCTACTCAAGGCTAGCAAACTGTTCTTTGAAGGGTTTATAAATCACCTGACAGCCATCCTCTTCTTAGGCTCTGCAATGACCCTCATTCTTGCTTGTCCAAGTTACCAGCTGTTGGTCTGGGCCTCCAGGAAGGGTTCTACCTCAGAGATATTGTATTGGAAGTTTCTTTAAATGGAACATTTTTTAGTCAAATATCTACCTCAGTAACTTTGACTTCAGAAGTCAAGCATGCTCAGAAGTCAAACACAAGATTCTTTCTGTATTAGTTCCTTTTGTCAGTGTTGTAACCAAATACCCATCAAGATGCTCCTTGGAGGCTTTCCATGGTCGATGAGGACTGTCCTCAGTAAAGGACATAGCATGTGCAGATGCAGTATTACCCACCTCTGCACAGTTAGACAAATGCTGAAAGTGGAACTTCTTTAATCTAACAGGATCAGTCACAATGCCCTGCATTGAATCTGTTTAAAATGCCTTCTATTTTTGCCAATAAAGTTTTTAAATAAATATGTGCAAATTAAAACAAACTGCAGTGTTTTGAAAGAAAATGGCCCCCTAAAGGGAGTGGCACTGTTAGGAGGTGTGGCCTTGTTGGCGGAAGTGTGCCACTGTGGGGGCGGGCCTTGAAGGTCTCTTTCACGCAAGCTTCCCTCAGTGTGAAGCAAAGGCTAAACAGTAAAGAAAAACAGCCAAATCATGTTCTAGGGCAGGTAGTAATTTTGCAGTTGCCACCTGGAATCTGCCGTTGCCTGTACGACGTAGTACTCTCAGATCCAAGCACCACATGTACCTGAACACTGATGTACCCCTCAACGTGATCATAATGGACAGAACCTCTGAAACTGTCAGCTAGCCACCCCAATTAAATGTTTTTCTTATAAGGGTTGTTGTGGTCATGGTGTCTCTTCACAGCAATAGAATACCCTAGCTAAAACAAAAACAAACCAAGAAAAAGAAAAAAGAAAAGGCACAACCTGGAGAAGAATCTGCTTTAGCTCCAGTTCCGGGGTGTCCTAACGTGGCTGCTGGAATTCCCCTGGCTGGAGCTTGTGGCACAGCTTGTTGATTTCTAAAGATCAAACAAACAGAGAAAGGAGAGGGAGTGGGCTTAGCCATGAACACCAGAGCCCACCCTTCCAGGAACCACTTCCTTCAGTTAGGTACCACCTCTCACCATTCCACAACTTTCAACAAGACTGTCAGCTGGCAGCAGCATTCAGACACAGGACCCCACGGGGACACTTTCATTTAAATTGTTGTATTTCTCTTTCTTGCAATCAGGACACAAATATGATGAGTAAATGCAATTAACCAGTTCCATACACAGAATATTCATGAAATAGCTAAGATAATTAGACAAAATGTTCTTTGATTTTTAATTTTTTTTAATTCTTTGAAAATTTTATGCATGTATACAATGTATCATGACCACACATATACCCCACACCCCTTATTCTCCAACATACCTTCTTCCCAATACCTTCATGTCTTTCTTCTTTATTTTGTAACCATGTGTCCAATTAGTGCTGTCCACAGGTGCATGGGTGTGGGGCCATGAGTTGGGACATGGGCACCACCAATAGTCAGACTTACCAGTGAAGAGTGACTCTCCATTCCAGAGCAGCCATCAACTACCAATAGATTCTAGTTGGCAACTGCAAAATTGATACCTGCTTTAAACATGATTTGGCTATTTTTCTTTATTGTTTAGCCTTGGTTTCTTCATTCCTATAATGAATCAATGACTAAGCAATAATCTTTAATAAATTCCTGTGGGGATTGCTCCCACCGTTACTTCTGTGTGAACTGTCCAGTAGAAATCCTAATAATATAACCTCTTGTAGTATTTATGACTTTGTCTGATTTACCTTAATTGCCTGTTTTGAATTAATTAAAACTGATAAAATTAGGTGGTAGTGATCCATTGTGAAATCCAGTGCACAGTCTCCTAGAGGCTCCTGCTTAGGTGTCTGGATGTCTGGATATATTTGATGTAGGTAACATTAGCTGTTGTGTAAACAGTTACTTATCAGACTAGAATGTGGTGAGATAGCTTGAGCCAGCATATGCAGAGGCTTGTGGAAAGGGAAAAGTGATACCCAGTTCCTTCTGTCTTCAATTATCCCAGTGTGAAGAACTTGTACTATGGGTAGAGAGCTTGCCTAACATTCAGGAAGCCAGAGTTTTGAAGTGAAGGATGGTCTACCTTAGTTGAGCCTCGGTCATCAGTTATTTTTTCAAATGTGACTAAAAGTAGACAATGAGTTATAAGTGTGTGAAAGTTGCAATCTTAACTCATATTTGGAATACAATTAGTAGTGTTATTATAGCATTTAATATAATGTGGTATGTGAGCTATTATCTCTATGTTTAAGGATTATCATATTTCTATGCACAAAAGGGTTTATGGGTTTACCTTGAAGTGTAGTGGAGAAATGAGAAATTGTCATTCTTTTAAGTTAAAAGAGACGGTGTGTAATGCTATCTATTGTAGAATAAAGATTTTAATTTTGAGTTATTTCCGGGTCAGACAATTACTGGAGATGCTAATAAATTTTGTCAATGATAGAGCAAGGGATGTATACATTGAAATACAGAAGTAGGTCTATTGAAACTTTAAACTATCTCCTCAACCATTTTTTAGCTATAGAAGGTTATACAAATCATGTGAGATGTATCTTGACTTTTTAAAAGCTTTATAAAAAGAAAAATGCTCATGAGTTTATTCTCACTTGACACTGCTCACAGTAGCTCATATTTTCAGCCTAAGAACTGTCATGGTGTATAGACTTCTCCTCTCCTGCTCCTTTCTACTTCATGAGTTGTTACATCTTGACACCACAAGTACAGTAGGGAAAAAATGGTAGAGGTAAGATGAAAAAGTCAAATTTCACCTCTTGATACACTGGTGGATATTTGCTCATGCAAATTGCTAACTAATAACTTATTTTCTTTAAATAAGCTAACTGAAAATAGAACAATTAACCTACCCACTTTGAAAGTCTGATACTATCAACAAACAAGGAGGGGGAGGAGGAGAGGGAAGAGAAAAAGGAGGGGGGGAGGAGGAAAAGGAGAAGGAGAATACACAAGAGTTAAAGGGAAGGAGAAGTGACCAGAGAGTATAAGGAAGGCCAGCTGGATTTAGAGATTTTTAATTCCTGGTGTTGATATATAGTGAAAAAGCCTCTGACAGAGTTTTCAGTTTAGGTTCAATATTGAAATTTATTTGTTTCATTTTTGTTATTTTTCTTCTTCTCTCCTTTCCTCTCTCTCATTTTCCTTCCTTCCTTCCTTCTTTCCTTCCTTCCTTCTTTCTTGTCTGCATTACTGCTAACTGCAGATTAAAGATTAAAATTGATCTTTCCAACTTTATGAGCATTGCTGGTGAATAATCGGTATACTAAGACAGCAAAATCCAAACATCTTTCCAAATATAAGAGAGGTGATTGAGCATTGAGGCATATGTAGTGAGATAATGAGGATGTTTGCATCTGTCTACTTAGACATAGTCACCAGTAGTCTCTCTAAGCCCTCTTAGTAATCAAAAACATCAAAGAACTGAATTTATGGAATAGTGTGGTTGTGTTGTTATATATATATATATATATATATATTCACATTCACTATATATATAGGACTTTGGAAAGCAGAGAACTAGAATAATCGTCATAGTGTCAGTTGCTTTTGCTAAAGTTTTCCTTCAAATACACAGATGTAGAAAAGCAAAGACTAGTCTCCTCAGATGGAGAAACAGAGGCCTGCATTTGTGGATAACAAAACAGTCATGGTACAGAGAAAGACTCCTCTGATTCCATTGATGCTCTGTAGAAGGAACTTGGATTAAGTCTAAAACACAAGTACCATGAGTGATTCCTTGAAACTCAAGACCAAAGAGCTTTAAGAAGAGAGCAGTGAGTACAGGAAACACCTCAGGCATCCAATGGAGGTCCAGGGGCTGTGACTCAAATGCAGAAGTGAAACTTGCAACAAGGACAGAGAAGACTAATGTAGACCTGCTTCAGAAGAGCCAATGACTCATTCCAGCAGGCTCAAGATGATTCACCAGTAACTAAACTAGCCAGGAGAACAAAGTTCAACATTTTAACAAAAGAACAACCCATTTCTGAGTTTCTACATGATACCTCCCCAAATATGCAGTTGTTACTAGTATCACTGAGAAGTTGTTTCATTCACAAGATTAACTGTTGCTAAAGTCCTGTTACTGCTCCAACTAAGCCTGTGAAGGACCAGTGAGCCATTGTTCATAAATTATTTTCTCGTTTTATAGAATGACATTAACAGTGAGTGAAGACAAGTTGAGTAGAGGCCTTGAGCCATTTCAGTTGTGGTCAGGTTTGAACTGATTCCCTGCTCTGCATTGAAACACATGCATGGTAGTAAGGAAGTTATATATGGTCTCTGGCTCTGAATTCCTTATATAAAATTTGGTATAATAATGTTTACCTCAGAAGTCTGTCATGAGAATTATAATAAGCACTATATAATAAAGCACTCACCATGTTTTCTGACACATTGTAATAACACAGAAACAGTACCTATTAATATTTTAGATACCTTCAATTTGAAATTATCACCCAAGGCACTTATCTTTGAGAGGTCTTATACTAACCTATATGTATTTATTTGCAAGGCTAGATTTATAGACATTATGCAAATTTATATTAAAAGGATAAATGCTGAGGGAGCTTTAAGAATTTTGTTCGTGGATTTCTTTATTTGCAAAGTTTGATTTATAGACATTATGTAAGTCTATATTAAAAAGGAAAATGCTGAAGGATTTTGTGAATTTCACTTGCACATTTGATTGTTAGATTTGATTGTTAGAGTCACAATCTTAACTACTACACAAAGAAATAAACACAAAGCAGCTGTGAATACCCTCATCATTCTATTAGGATGATTTAGAATACAGTTGCAATGGGAATAGGATGGTGACTGGAAGGTACCAATAAGCACACTTGATTGGTTCTGTTGTTTGTTTTGATTTGTTTTGTTTTTTGGTTCAGTCATTTGTTAAACTATTGTCTATTTCTACACAGTACCAACTCTATACTTGTGTACTATACTAAAGTTTTGATGATTACTGTAAATTCAAATATGTTTAAGTTTATTGATGGGGAAATCTTCTGTATATGTTTCTCTTATTGGTTGATGAATAAAGCACTGTTGCCAATAGGGAAGCAAGATAGACAGGACTAGGAGACAAGAGAATTCTGGGAAATGTAGTAAAGAGAAGTTGTCATGTGATCCAGGCAGGAAGTGACATAGCTGGCAGAATCAGAATATAAGCAGGGACAAACAGGAAATCCTTCTCTCTTCTCTTCTCTTCTCTTCTCTTCTCTTCTCTTCTCTTCTCTTCTGTTTTCTCTTTTCTCTTCTCTTCTTCTCTTCTCTCTTCTCTTTTCTCTCTCCTCTCCTCTCCTCTCCTCTCCTCTCCTCTCCTCCCCTCTCCTCTCCTTCTCTCTTCTGTCTTCTCTCTGGAGACACTGAACAGACAACAGACCCCAAAGGAGTAAGGTGCCTGGACCTTTTCTCCAGTAAGATAAGGCCACTAGGAAATACATAGATTAGTAGTTATGGGTTAAGAATAAGAAGCCCAAGTTGCCAGCAAACATCTTAATAACAAATATAGTGTCTGCGTGTTTCTTTGGGGCAGAGAAGGGCAAGCAGGATGTAGCTGGGCCAGAAAAGCCTTATGTTACAGTTGATAATACATTTAAGATAGCTAATCTACCTCAATACTTAAACTAGCCTAAGTAATATATGCTTAGAATATTTACACCAGCCTGCAGTGCATGAATTGAGAGTAGTACACTGCTAGCTGGCCAAAGGGTAAACAAATGAAATTAATTGTTACTTATTAATAAAGTTTCTGTGGCATTGTTAAGCCAGGTAGTTGTAAGTCAAACTGTAAGTCAAGGTCATCTGCACAACAAAGTTAAAAATCACCTTCATTTGTAGTTCATCCACTTTCTTTTTTTTCTTTCAAAGGGACAGTCAACACTGTTAGTGCTACATTGCAGATATTTGTGGCAAGTTCAAGGAAGCTGTCTGGAACACAGTAGGTGTTATCTAACTATGGCCTTTTGTTTGTTTGTTTTTGAGATTTTATTTTGATTACATTTCTCCTTTCCCCTTCTACCTTCAAACACTACCATATACCCCACCCATCTTTCCTTGAAATTCATGGTCTCTGTTTTCATCAATTGTTATTGCATTGTACATGTATATTTAGGAAAATATATTTTATTACATATTCCTAAATTAACGTGTGTGAACCACATAATGTTATTTGTGTCTATGTTTTCAGGACTGACCGTTTGGAACTAGACAACCAATTCCTGAGGAAGACCAAATCTCCTGCTCTCAGCTTTACTCAGTAGCCTGTAGTTCTTGCTATAGTGATGATACCTTGTGGTCGTTTCCCTGCCTAGTCTGGCATGTTCATTGGTGTCATCCTTGTTTGCTCACATTTGGGCAATCATGCCCAGTATTTCTTTTGCCAATGTTTTTTTTTCCAAATGTGATAAAAGTAATTAAGAACTTATTGTCATTTCAACATTCATTTCCAATCATTCATTAGTTTTTCAGTTGACTATCACATGTCAAAATCAGTCTGTTATTCTTGTGTCAATCAAGTATATATTAATCAAAATGATAATAATGGATCCTAAATAGTAGAATGGATTTTGTGTTAGAGATTAAAAACAGCTTAGAGAATAAATTTGAACAACCATGTTTTTGCAAGAGACTTGGGATAAAGAATAAAGGTTTTAAACATTTAAAAATCTTACAATAGTATTTTTAAATTCTGTGGAGAAATAAAAACATGGTGTGAGTTTATAGATTTAAATGTTGTATTTGAAATGCCTTCATAATTTCAGGCTGAGACTTTATTTTCCATGCGTCCAATTAACTATTCTATGGACAGTCTATCTCATTGGCTGTTCTTTATTTGCTTACTGTTGTAGTCATGTGCTTCCTTAATTGAAATGAAATCATCTATTTCAATTAATTATACAAGAATGATCTTACATAACTTTGAAACTGTTCATTAAACATTTCTACAGTCTTCAGCATTGGCTCCCGCCTGAGGCTGAAACACTGAAAGCAGACAGAGAGAGGACTATCTACACTGGTAGACATTTATGTGTGCCTTGAACATGAATAGACACTTCAGCCTCCAGCACCTGGGATGATGCCCCTTCTGGAGTTTCGGCATGGGTTCAGTGCAGGATCATTGACCCACACATACTTTCAACTGGATTCTGATGTAGAATATTAGTTGAAGATGTGTTACATTTGTTTTTTGCTATGGAATATTTGTTTGATGATGCAAAGACATGTTGCATTCTTTTATACGACTCACAGTTTTTTCATGATTAGGTAATTTTACAAACCAAGCAGTTGCATTTGTTTAATTCTGTGAAGCTGTGTTATTTTGCCTGTCTAAAGCACCTGATTGGTCTAATAAAGCATGTGCAACAGATAAACAGGAGAAAGGATAGGTGGGGCTGGGACACAGAGAGAATGAATAGGAGAAATCTGGCAAGAAGAGGAAGGAGCAAGAAGAGAAGGATCCAGCCACCCAACTATACATGTAGCAAGCCATGGAGTAAGAAAGGTATTAGGATAGAGAAAGATCCCCCCAAGTGAAAGGTAGACTGAATAATTTAAGTTTAGAAAAGCTAGCTAGAAACAAGCCAAACTAAGACCAAATACTCATAAGTGTGATATCTTGCTTGTACAAATAAAAGCTGGCTGAAGGTCAGAAAATAGAGCTTGCCACCACCACACCTTCCCTCCTTACCATCTCAGCAGACAAGAGAGAGAGAGTTCCTGTTTCTCTCTGCTTATATCCCGTTTTCGCACAGCTACCTCACTTCTTGTCTGTCTGTACAGGTCTCCAGACTAATATGGTTGGCTAGTTGCAAGATCCGTTCTCTGACCTTCAGACAGGCTTCACTTGTACAAGCAAGATATCATCTCACATAAGAAAGAATAAGACTCCTCCATGTGGTTTATTTGAGAGCTGGGTGGTAGTCCCCCAAAGAGCCAAAAGAGAAGAAAAAAAAACCCTGCCAACTATAGGAGTCCATTCTGTGAGGGCAATAACCTGACTTCCTAATGTATCCCCTAATACCACATAGTGAATCTTCATCCCTCACCAGTATCCCACCTATTATCTTTTGTGTTTGGAAGAGATTGTTTTATTGCCAAGAGAAATATTCTTTCTGTATACAAATTGTATTTCTTATAAAAGTGAAACTTCAACTAATGAGGTTGGTAATCAAATTTAGAACTACCAACTGCTTGTACTTTTCCTGATTTGATTTAAATGACTTTGATGCTAACATGATTTAGGCATACTTATTCTCAACATGACTCACAGTTTTTTCATGATTAGGTAATTTTACAAACCAAGCAGTTACATTAAAGTGTTGATAATTCATTTATTGCCATTATAATAATTTTGCCAAACAGAACTCTGAAAAATAACAAAACCAGATTTATTTCTAAAATGAAAGTATGTAAGTGTTCTGAACCCTAATAAAGATCTGTAA